CTAGCTCTGTGGGCCTGCATTTTATTTAGAAGTTTCAAGCAGATGAAAAGCATGAGATTTGATTTTCCAACCCTTCTGTCAGCCACAGAGAAACTTCTATACAAGTGCATTTGTAACCAGGCTTCTTCGATGTCGATGGCTGAAAATCCATCAGGATTATTTTTGCAGGATTTATTTTTCACAGTTGCAGACCTTCTTGCTGAATGATGCATTACAGATCAATGCTGTAGCTTCAGAAATGCCCCCAGCTTCACTGGACAGACCTCATTAACAACAATAGGTGAAATTATTTACCCGAGTCTTTTCTGAAGAGATGTCAGAACATCTTAATTGGCTCCAGGAAGGCTGCTTATTATTTTGATTTTGAAAACTATTTCTTTGTGGCCTGCCTGCAGCTGCATGAACTACTGTCTTGATCATTCCTCAGAACTCAGACAGTTATTTATTATTTAAATACAAGCTAAGTGTGGGAAACTCTTAAAATTCCCCAATGCTCTCCTCTAAAAATAAAGATCCATTAGTTGATCCTCGATAATTCTTAATTGTTCCCTCAGGTGAAACTGGACTCCTAACTTCGATCTCCTTGAGTTTCCTTCTTGGCTTTCTTTGTGGGTGCAGCATTTTTCTGTTGTTTTGCCACTGACATTCAAGTGTTAAAGCCAAACTTTGTGAAGCCATGTGGAGGGCAACGCTGGCTCTGATGTAATTCACAAGTAGCCTGGAATGACCCCCATCCACTCATGGTGACTCCTGTTTGTTTTGGACAGTGCCTAGAGCTCCATTTCCCCTTGTGCTATCTGCAAGATGTCTTGCATATCCTCCCTGTTTATGATCATACTTGCCTCTGATGTTTCCTTTTTAGCTTTGTTATCCCTCTTCTGGCCTAGACATAAACCCTGAATGCTCCTGTTCACTGGAGATCTGGTGGCACCTCTGACAAAAGGAGATGACTAACCTCCATGGCCTGGCCATGGGCCAACCTGGCTATTTACACTCTGCCTACCAGAAATCCCCCCTGCCCTTTCAATAGTCATGTTGTTTTCCACTTTTTGTCCCAAACAGCCATTGAATAGATGCTGTCCATGCTCCAGTTCAGCAGTCAATAGCACTTTAAGCTGGTAGGACTTTTTTCTGCTCTGGGTCCTGGGGGCATGTGGAGGTGCTACAGTTTGATTTCCAGGAATGGTCTCCAGTTCCTTGCTTTGGAAGGATCCTGTGCCAATCCCCCATTTCTCCTTACTAGCTATTATTATCTCCAGCTCTTCTTATCTTAATAACATTTTATGGAATGATTCCAGTATTTATTCTGTTTCCCATCTTTCTTTTCTCTCTGCCTTTTGAAAGAGGTGCTGGGGAAGGTGCTCAGCTGCTCTGAAACAGCCCATGGACAGAGAGCTCAGAGCTCTGTGCACTCCCAGCTGAGAGAAACCCAGCCAAAGGCTTTTCCCATATACAGGAGAGCTTCTAATTTAAATGAGTGCTGTTAACTCTGGTTGTCTTCTGGTTTTTAGTTTAAAATTAACAAAGCATATGACTGAGTTTTTCTCAGAGTGGGTTCCAAAAGGATCCAGGAGGCAGGAGAGTGTGGTGAGACTTGGCAGGTAGGAGAGCTGCCCCTGTGAAGCCTGCTTGCTCCAGCTAGAGTGCTCTCTGTCACTTTAATACTCACCCTGTTCCCATCTTAATGACATTTCACTCAATCAAAGAAGATGTGCTGCAAAAATAAAAGTACCAGGTCATGCCAAGATATGTGTGGGAAGAGTAGAGAGAATGTGTGGAGCACCAAGAATTACATGCCCAAGGACAATCAGATTTGTATCATCTTTTTCTAATCTTTTCTATTCTATTTGATTGTGGTTTGCCAAAATCAACACCACTGATTTTAATACAGGTGCCTTTGTTCCCAGAAATGGTCTGAATGAAACCTGGGATTATGAATTCTTTCCCAGGTCATGCTGAACCTTGGGAAGCTTTCCATACAGCAGGTAATCCCTTTATTATTTATTTTTTCTTTTCCTGTTCACTGTTATGAACTTCCTCTGCCCAGATTTGACACTGTTGTTATAAGATTTTGCTGTCCCACACCAAGGTGTGACAGGGGAGCTGTGCCCATTACTGATGGAGCTTGTAAACATGACTTTGGGTGCTAATGTGTCAATCCAAGGAATATCCAAGATGTGAATATTGCAATTGCTGCATGGAGAGGTTGCCAGACTCAAAGAGTCAAAATTTGGGCTCGGGGCTGAAATGGAGAAAGGCTTTGGAAATCTGCAAGTTGTCTTTCACACAAGCCTTTCAGGCACACTGGAGTGTAGAACATGGGAACCAAGTATGAAAATAAAAGTAATGAAAAAATTGTCTTAGTTTCACTGTTCCTTTAAAGCTTGAATCTCAGCCCAAGGTCACAAATTGGTCCTCCCTGGTTTATAGACTTATAAAGAGACCCTGGGCAGTGTTCTGAGTAAACCTGGACTTACTGATGGCTTAGTGTTAAAAAATATGTTAAATCTGTGGTTCTGCAGAGTTCCAGTGTGAAAGCTGATGGAATTTGTTAAAAGGGAAAGGTGGTTGGTGGTTATTCACATACCTGAGACACAAGCAACGAGGGTCCCTCTTAGAGAGGTTTTTTGGGACAAGTCATGTCACATCCTTCTGTATCAGCTTTATCATCAGTAATGACAGGATGGGAGGCTTTATCTGCCCTACCTGCCTGCCTCATTTGCAAAATAGTTTGAAAAGCCTGGAGACGGTGTAATAAGTGTTAAAATTACTTCACTCAAAGCCATTTAAAGTTCCTGTCTTTGGAGGGGTAGGAAATCTCACCTTTTATACAGTGAAGAGGCAGCAGCTGACCTATTAGTTTGCATCCTACATACAGTGATCCATCAACACCAGGATCAATTTCCTGAAGGTCACTAGCTCTTTTAAATCCTGCCATCCTCTTTGAATTCAGACAGCAGGGATTTGGCTTCTCTCTCCCTCACCTGCATTTTCCCTTCTTTCTCTTTTGATAAACATAGGCATTGCAGCTTTAAGATTTTAAGACCTTTCCCAGATGGAAAAGGTCATTTGTCTTTCACTACTCAACACTTCGTTCATGAGTTCATTTAAACATTGCCAGGCATCAGAAGAACAGAACTCAGCTGTAGGGTTATCTGTGTCTTATTCCCCTTTTGTGTAGGTGGCAAAACTGATCTAGAACAAAACTGTTTGGTTCCCATAGCAATTTACAACGTGCTGAGACCATAATACTGTACTCTTCCCACTCCTTATCTACACCTGTTATGTCTTCCTTTGCCACACTGCTAAGAGCTATAACACTGGCACTATTTTGAATGGCATCAAGCAGGCCATTTTCCCAAGTCTCATGCAATTTCTCCCTGTTTTTGGAAAGGAGAAGATGTATTATAAATCTAAGGAGCGAAAAGCAAACATTTTATTAGCTGCTTTCAATTGGATTCTCAATGAAAAGTTAATTAAAGGAGTGGAATGAAAAGATATTACAGTGCATCTACTAATCTTGGTACATTATTTATATGAAATCAGTCATCAAAATTAGTCATGTGCACTATCTTGCTGTGTGTGGTCTGGTTTGAAATGGTGTGTTTGTTTCCATTCAGCTCCACTGGATACAGCTAAGATACACATTTGATGTGCTATGCAGTTAGATCATATTTTGAAAGTTTATTATGCTCTCTATCTCTCTGTATCTGCAGGCTCGGAGTCAAGGGACCATTAAAAGCTTTCAGCTCAGCTTTGCAGTGTGCAAGAGACAAGTGACAAAAGTCATCCCTTCCCGTAAGTTCCCATCTGCTGGCCTTGGGCTGCTCCTCCTGCAGCCCTGGCTGTGTTTCCCTGCTGGCTGCTGGGGCTGGGGGAGCAGTGGCCCTGCCAGCCCTGTGTGGCAGCAGGGATGGTGACAGCAAGGGCCCTGTGTCCCCATGGCAGGGGGACAGCATCCCCTGGCCCTGAGTCTACCCCAGTCTGGTAGACTCCAGCAGAAACTCCCACCCCCTGCAGGTACCCCTGCCTGCTTTATTCAGCTCTTCTCTCTCCTCCTTAGGATGTGCACCAAGAAAAATCCGGGCTAACAAAGTAATTTCTGGGTGGTCAGTGAGCTGCTCCTTCCCTCCCCACCCTGGCTCATCCTCTCCCGCAGAGAGAGCAGATAGAGTTACGGATCCCAGGAGAGGAGAAGAGTTTAATGATCCCTCCTTAAGGTCACTGTCAATGCTGTTGCATAAATTGACCTGCTAGGGGCTTCTGTGAGAGCTGGACACGGAGGGGTGTAGGTTACAGAGCAGAGCACGGAACTCGCCCACTTAAACCACTGAAGCATTTTAATTGGCATTCAGTAACTCTCCTTTCCTAACAGCTGCCTTTAACAGTGAGCACTGCTAATGCCAGTCATGGGGCTGCTCTGTGCTCTCTGCCACAGCTCCTGCCTGAGCTGCATGGCCAGCCTGAGAAATGCACCTGAAAATATCATTTTTTCATTGCAAAGGGCAAATGTAAGTGCAAAGCCACTCTCTCAACACAGCACAGACTGTGAGCAAGTGCAGCTTGGATGGGAAGAGCTAGGTTAAGAAATAAGAAAGAAATAAGAAATAAGAAGAAATAAGTGTCCACTTTGGCTGTGGACTGCTCAGCACAGGGGTGAGTTGAGGCTCTCTGTGAGTTTTCCCTGGAAGATGGGGAAAGGAGCAGGTTTTCCTGCTTGTTCTGGGGAGCAGGGAGAGCAGTGTAGGGAGGTGGGGAGGCATTCCAGCTGATCTCCTTTCCCTTGACTGCTTCCTCACCTTCCCTCACTGAGGCCCTTCAAACCTATTGCATTTTTAATTTGTGAAAGGCTTTTCAAATTTCACCACAGCATCTCCTTGTTTGAAGCCAATACACTTTTGGAGACACTTGATAATGTGGCAATAATTTCATGTTCTCCAGCTTTACTCTGCAACAGCAAATCACCAAATACTCTTTCCCCATCACACTGCTTTGCTTACCTGTGGGCAGCTTAAGAGTTGATATAAGGAAATGATAGGAAATCCATCCTGTAGGCTCAGACCAGACATATTGATCCTACAGAATGAGGATTTGTGCTCTTGAGCATCTCTCCACTAACTGTGGACCAGGAAATGTGTCTGTACCTGCAAAAGGGCAAAATAAAGATGAGCCTGTGACAGGTCATGGTGAAAGTCCAAAATGTATTTTAGACCAAGATACATTTCTGCTCTCTGAATATATTTTGGATTATTTTTGTCTTGAAACCAATGCATGTCTCTATTTGTTATGCACTTGGCTCATGAAGGATTGCAAAGTAGCTTAAGAAACCTAACAAATCTGGTGAGCTAGACAGCCACTCTTGCTCCTGTTGGATAGGGCCTCACACTGGGAACAGTCTCATTTTTTCCCAGTTTCTCCCAGTGGGTGAAAACTGATTTTTGCTCTGATTCTTTGAATGGGGCAGCTGGGGGAGAGCTCTCAGCTATGGTGTAAATGAATGGGGGGATGCTGGATATGAAAATTTCTCTTGAAATTTCAGTGCAACTTCTGGCAAAGCTAGGAATCAAGCCACAGTCTAGATAATTTTCCATATTTTATTACCTTTTCTTAGTTAAAATGGCTGAACTTGGGGTCAGTGTCTTCAGTTTCTCACAGAAGCATCACTTACTCAGTGTTCCCGGATGAACTAAAGCAGTAAGCATAAAATGGATATCTCTTGCTCAAGGATGAATCCCCTCTGACTTTTCTCATAAGATATTAATAAGAGAGAGGCATTATCAGATTCCATTTAACAGGTGTATAGAAGAAGGGGAAATCTCATAATCATTTAATACCTTCTGCAGGAACATCCTTCATCAGCTTTTGCTAATTATGAAGATGAAGACATTTTCTATTTTGTTTCCCACTTAAAGCCAAAGACAGAATTCAGGAGACAGCAACAGCAATTTATTTTCTAGGTTTTGCTTTCTTCATGCAAAGGAATGCCAAGGTAACCTCACAGGGTTTCATTTAAAAACAAGTATTCAAAGATAAAATACCATGGTTTTAGCCCACTGTCTCTATTAGTTTATTAAAATATTAGTCTTGTAGGTATGTTAGATTGATTTGCCTTCCATGGTGTTTAAAAATAGCTGTGGGAATAATGGGCTTCATCAAAAATCATTAACTGGGACATTATTTTCATTTTTTAACCACAGAACAAAGTGTCACAGCCAGATTAAACAAGCCAGAAAGCATTTGGAGTGCACACAAACAGCCAGAAATTTTTATATATATACCTTAATCATGGAAAATCCTGGAAGATATTAGCTGTCTTCCACTGCAGTTTGGTCAGAATCCCCAAGAAAGGTCAGATTGTTTGAAGTGGCTGGTATTTGTACCAGCTGACAGGCAAAGGCTCAGTTATTTATAGTGGTTTGCCTGCATCCCCACAATGCTGAGGGACTGAATGAGATTGCAGAGATGAAAGGAAGGTTCAGTCTAACAACTGCAAATAGCTGTAGCTCAGTGAACTTCTAAATGATGACATTACCAAGCCAGAGAACTGCTGAGCTTAAGCACAGGTTTCAATCCTTATGGAGTAATGGGATCCCATAAGAGCCCTTTTTTTGGAGGGGTGCATTTTATTTTAATAAAGTTTAGTTTCCTGTGTGGCACAATCAAACTTTAGAGTTTCCTTTCCAAGTTTCCCTTATGAGCTGTGTCGTCTTTATCTGGCCGTGTCAGCCAGCCCCTTTGATGGAGATGTTTTTTTTAGCTATAGGATTTGGACAGGGAAAGAAGAAGCTGGGGTCATATGAGGAGAGTGTTGGGACTGGGAAGAAATGTGGATCCAAGTTCATCAGGGTGAATGCTCACTCCTTTTTGCTGAATATTTGGTAGGCAAGTGACCCACCATAGATCAAGAGGGAGAGAAAGAAGACATTTCTGATGAAAAGGAAAACACTGATAAAAAATTATGGGAAAAGATAAGGGCAGTGACCATGGCCAATAAGAGTGAAAACTGCTGTAAACTGGAATGAAATTCCAGATCTCTCTTGAAGAAACAACTCACAACTTCCAGTTTTACTAGGCTAGTCAGGTCTCTGGGGAAAAGGTGCTTTCTAGTCACCTGCAGGTCCCAAATCATCAGGAAATGAAAGACATGGAAGGCTGGCCCAAACAGCCAAAAGGAAGAAAAAGGCCCTTGCAGTCAGTTCAGCCTCATGGGAAAACTCCCATTTTGCCCCAGAAGCAGCAGGCAGGGAACAGCTGCGTTGTTGTTTCTTTAAATCAGTTTTGTTTGGTGTGGGATGCCCTTTGGAGCACGGCTGATCAGGCCAAGTATGAGCGGCGTGTTATCTCCAAACAGCTCATGAGCCTTCCTGAGCAGATAGCCTGGAAAGAGCCCCAATGACTGGCCCTAATCCTAAAGCATAGATAAACCCCCTACAGCCAGAGGGACAGAGGAAATTACTGATATTCACTCATCTATTTATATTTAGACAAAAGATTAAACAATTTGGAACTGCCATGCTGTGTCCATGGCGAGGCTCCTGCAAACGTGAGAGCTTGCAAGGCTTCTCCGCACAGGCTTAACTGGAAATGCACATTTTCCAGCAGAATGTGCTTCCTCAATGAAGGAAAGACATGTCAGAAAGGAAACAGACTGGTTTTTTTCAGGGTGAAGTTACTGAGAACTATCATTTTGATGAAAACAAAAGGTTCTTGTTGAATTCGTGCTCTTATAAAACTCTAAATAATTCCACAGACACGAAGCACTGTCACTTTTTGAGGACTGCAGGCACGTTGAAACAAATCTTTGCAAAGAGGATGTTCTGATGCTATCAGGGCAAAATCTCTCAGGATTTCAATTTCACAGGAAGTTTCAACCTTTCTTATTCTTTTTCTGGTAATTTTTTTCCTGAGAAATTCTATGGAATTAACTTGTTTTTTTCATCGCCCCTTCTCCCACATTTCCTCCCAAAGAACACCCATTTTGTCAGGTGATAGAAGGAGATGTGAGGAGCAGGACCTCTTCTCTGTCCTGCTCCATGACACAGCATGGCACAAGCAACCTTTGACCAGCCACCTGGAAAAGCTTTGCTTTTCATCCTCATGTTATTGCTGTCTGGAGAGCTGGACAGAGCAACCTCTGGCTTGATTGTGTTTGCATGGTTTTGGGGGATAGCTCCAAGAGGCATTTTCTGACCATTGCTGTCTGTACTTAAAGGACTTTTTAAAGGTTTTTGGTGTTAAAGAGGACTTTAGCAATTGTTTTCCAGGTAGTGTTTCAGCTGTTTTACTGGAGGCTCGCAGAGACTGGACAGCCTTGCCTTTATTAATTTGCCTTGGTCAGATTGTTGCTGCACTCTCAGTGCAGTTCCCAGCCTCCCTTTTCCCTCACATTCCCCTCAAATCCAGGACCCAGACCAATAGCCTGTGTTTGGGATACTCAATAAATGAAAATCAAGAGTGACAGCTCGCACACCGTGGGACCTGCTCAGCACAGTGTCCAGACATCTTTTGGATATCCCAGGGAAGGAGCCCCCACAGCCTCTCCGAGCGCTGTCCCTGTGCTCAGCCACCTGCACACTAGAGAAGTTACAGATATCTTCAGCTTCTTCTCCAAATGCATGGACCTTTGACATGTAAATACATGCAAAACCACTCTGATCTAGCAATTCAGAAATCCAGCTTAATGATTCCAGTTTTCCCCATGCCTCACCAAACACGAGGCCACAGCAGAGTTTTCTTCCCCAAGAAGAGATGAGAGAGGAGACTGATGTTAATCAGAGTAGGAGGTGACAGATGTTAATTAGAGTGTAAAAATCACCTCTGGAAGGAGCTCAGACATGTCAGGGGGCCTCCCAGTGTACATTTATTTCCTTGGAACTTGCTTGTTGGTCCTACAATTAGCATGGAGCCTGGCCCTGCAGTGCACAGTGTACTGGAGGTGGCATTAAGGAGGACCTGTTTTCTTATACTTGTTATTTTCCTCCCTGCTATCTGCAGTGTATATTTATGTTAATTAGAGCAATACATCTGTCCTCAGAGTTTATCAGATTCGAGGAGATAAGATATTGCCATCAAAGCCTATTCTGAGCTGCGAGCTCCACAGTAAATCAATGTTACATGAATTAAGATTGCCTTGAGATTGTCTCTAGAACATTTCATCTGCCCATATCTGGAAAGAGCTTCTAATCAGAGCTCTGTAAAAAACTACTTTAGGATTTTTTTTCATGCAGCTTACAAACTCTGTGGTCTCAAACAAGCTTTAATTACCAGGGCTTCAATGGCAGCAATTTTATGATGTTTCAGAAGTGAAATGGTTTATACTCTGGTGATAAGGACTTCATAGGAGCCAGTAAAACATAAAGCAGGATTCCACACCACGAGATGGATTTTTTAATGGATTTTTACAGATAATTCTTAACTTTTTCCACCAACACTGAAGATACATAATGTGTTAATGGGCAGTTACACTTCTTTATCTTCAGCAGTTTTACCTGGTGCCCCTACCTTTCTCTTTGCCATATTTAGACACTAAATCAACCCCGTTTCTGTCCATTTGAATACAAAAAATGCCAAGCATAATTCCACAGAAAATCTACCTTTTAGGACAGCTGTCACCACAACACAAGCCCTGCCACTAGCTCCACGTGGATCACAGTGGCTGGCATTCTGCACTCAGTGCTGGCCACAATGGAAGGTAAATATGGAAGGGTGATCTTGCATGTCAGAGCTGAAGTAAACATGTGGTAGCATTGGGGTAGGTGAAGACTGCCAGTATATACAGGAATAACTTCATTTATCCAGTGCTGCTGAGTCTGGACTTCTAGAAGGATAAATATTTACTACTCTAAATGAAATATGTCTGTCATACCAGTGTTTGTTGCAGTCTGTCTAGGATAGATTAAGGAAGAATAAAAATTGTGGAATTGTCACGTGGTCCTTGAACTAGGAACTTTCCTTTGGGCAGACAGGTATTATTTTAAAGTTCTACCACCTGCAGAAATCTTCATCTCAGTCTCATCAGAAAAGTTCCAGTTTGTCTAACTGGAACACTGTTTTCCCTTCAGGCACTGGTGTCCAGGGCAGGCCCTAATAATTGATGAACCCAAAGTCCTGTCCTTGCCTTTGCCACCAGTCTGTGGGGTGAAAACAGGGGACCTGTTTGTCCTCTGTGGTAGTGCCAACATTACATCTGAAGTGCCAGCCAAGCCTTTGCTCAAGATCAAACTTGTCCATGGGATTTGGGTGCAGGTGCAGATGAGTCCAAAGCACAGGAAAGAAGACAAGTTTGACTCTTCTGGACAGCGACTTCCTCCACTTTTACAGCGAAATGGCTCCGGGTGCTACTACAAAGCAAATAATAACACCAAAACTTTTCACAGTTCAGTTTTACTTTGCTGGAAGGATTGGGTCTGACCCAGTCCCAGCCTGGACAAGCCTCTGTCATGTGAAGGTTGCTTTGATTTATGCCTGCACTTAACAAGATCCAGGTGGCCCAAGGAGAGCGTTGAGCCGTCGTCGCTCCGCGCTCCAGATGAGCGCCGGGTGTTTCTCGCCAGGTCACTCAAACAACAATATAATGTTGGCCATTCCATAACACTGTAAATCAGGCTGCAAACCCCCACATTTGGAACAGTGAATGTCATTGCCTGGGGCAGCACCGCAGACGCGGCTTTATTTGCTTTGAACAGCATTAAAATGAGAAATAAAAACGCTGCTTTTGACAGCAGTTTAATTTTAAATGGATGGCCCATTATTTGGATATTCCTAGGGCAGCGGGTTAATTGTGCAACCTCTTTCCACTGCATCTTGTTTATAGGAATGGGCTGGATCACCCCTCAGTGCTGTGCTCCACATCTCTCAGGGCTGGCTTTCACTTTGCCAGACCAATCACCCCTTCGCAATATTTTGATGCACATCGCAATTTTTTTGTCTGCACAGCCGAGTTATCAGACTGATGTTCTCAGACAACCTTTGGGCTGAGTGGGTTTCTGGAGCTTGGCAGCACAGGCATCTTTCTGTTTACCACCTTCCTAAAAATACAAGCTGTTGTAGTGAGGATAATTGATCGTGCTCGAGGAACACACTGCTTTTGCCACAACTTCCTTAACCCTTGTGCTGGTTTGGGCAATTCTGCAGCCCACAAATTGCTGTGCTTCTATAAAGTGAGTATTTTTAAAAAACAAATCTGTGGGGAAGCTCTGAGTGACGGGCAAGCTGCATATGTTGATTTTTTTTGGCAAATGGGGCCTTGCTAATTAATATCAAAATTTAGTTCATATATCTGGTTATAGATTGTGAAGTTATTACTCATAAGATAATGAAAAAGAAGTTGTTTAAAAAAATAAAGAATTGGAAGACAA